CTAGTCTAAAATATTACAAAATCAAAAAGGAGAAGAAAAATAATAGATATAAACGAAAAAACCAATCCAGTTTCGAAATACAAGATCATATATAGAAAATCCAGCAATGAGAAAAAAACAACATTACTTTGACATTCCTGTTTAAAATTGCTGCTTAATCACTTCTGTCCAAACTTTTACAGATTCTTTCTTTTCCTTAGGGTGTCCTTTCAGGTCTTAGAATAAAAAAAAGTTCTCACCAAACCGGCACACTTTCTCTTTCCGTTCTCTTTCGTTTCGGAGCTGTCCCAATTTCAGCAGCTTTAATGGCTGCCTCTTTGCCGCTGGCAAGAAGAGCTTCTCCTGGATCTACCAGGGACTTTGCGGTATCCCTGGGATCGACAGGATGCGCTCTTCACTTTCACTGTCTCTTTGGGACGGTTTAGATCCGATAGGACTGGCCAGGAGCAAAGATATCAGCAGCGATCTCAGACCACCAAGATCGCACGCTGTATCGTCGCAACCCCAGCTCCACCCTCCATTCTTAATTTCATTTATGAATATGGAGTTATGGGCTGAGGTTTGATCTACCCATGCAAAACAAATGATATAATTTGAAGAGAGTTAACTACACCAATCCAAATCCAGCAGATAGATAAATTGCAACTTTAATGCTCACCTCTTGAGTAGAAAAATGACTAACAGGGACCAGGAAAGTTTGAACTAGGCAGGAAGTGAGAGAGGTAGGAAGAGAGAGAGGTAGGAAGAGAGAGAGAGGCAGTTCTTGCTTGCAATTCATATCTCCTTCAGAAACATTCAGATGTGGAATTTGTCCATGTGCTCTGAAATGTATTATCTGTCATAATAAGGACAGCCATAACCCAACAAAGCAGCTTTCTGGCAACCAGTTAAGAGGCACGAGGATAGGAAAAAGAGCAGCTAAGATGCCAGTTGTTGCTGCTTAAATATTAATCTAATATTAACTACAGGAATACTGACTAAATAAGTTGCACCTTGAAGAATTAATTCAGGCCAGTTCTTTCCCATGGTTTAGAGTCTAGACCAGCAGTCCCCAACTTTTTCTTCACCACGGGCCATCTGTAAATATCTTTTGTGGTTGGAGATAACAGAATACCACATAGAATTTAAACCTGAACTATTCCTACTGGGAATAATTAAAGGGAAATTTAGCAAACAAATCCAGTACATCATATTGCATATAATAACAGCAGCAAGGATAGTTTTCATGCAGGGTTGGAAATTAGAAAATATACCATCCAAAGAGGTGTTAATAAAAAAATATTAGAATGTGCTGAGATGGATAAACTTGCAATAGAACTAAAAGGTAAGCAGGAATCAGAGTATTATGCGGTATGGGATAAATAGTACAAGTTTATAGAACATAGGAATAAGGATTAATGTATAGAAATAAATGTAAATATATGTAATATTGATGACACAATACTGTTAACAATGTAAATAGAGATGTGTAATTTTGAAAATAAATAAATATATTTTGTGGCTATGGACCATAGCCACGGAGACCTAACTTAACTCAAGATTTAAATCAACATTTCTTCAATTATTTACAGAATCCCTATATGATGGATGACATTACCAACCCTACCCCCAGTGGTTCGTGGACCACAGGTTGAGAACCACTGGTCTAGATTAATACTAATAATTTAACAAAGCATAACAAAATAATGAAATAATAAGTATGCATACTAATGCAAGAAAAAGCAAATATGTTAAGAAACAGGTTTATGCTTCTTCAGCGACAGACTGAAATCTGCGATCATGCGCAGTTTCAATCTGTGCTTGCCGCTGGAGCGCCCCAAGCCAGCTGGTTTCGGGGCTAAGCCACCCCGTAGAGGTGTTGAAGAGTGGGGAGACTGCCAGCAGGGTCGAGGAGAGTCGCATCTCTCCTCCCCAGCTGGCCATTACTCCCTTTCCCGAAGGCGGTTGCAGCAGTGGTCAGAAATGGCCACCTCAAAGAAGAACTCGACTGGAAAAGAATGTGCAGGAGGAAGATAAGAAGAGAAAGTTTTGGTTGACTGGGTTAAACTGCAAAAGCAACAACGTAAGGTATCCTGGAATTTAAACTATAAAAAAAACAGCATTGTTCCCAAAGAAGACTGAAGCAGTGAATGGGAGAGGGAAGGGAAAGGATTTGGGTTTTTTTTTTCTTTTCTTTCCTATACTGACAACTAAGAGATTTAAGCAAGAAACCGGCAAAAATCCACTTTGACATTAAGAGGTATTTAAGCTGAAAATAAAATGTCAAAGGGATAATAAAGATTTCTGGATTCTCAAAAACTTTTAAAAGGAGGAAAAAAACAAAAGGGTGGGATCTGGAAAAATGGAGGAGACCACCTGGAAGTGAAAGGAATTAACAGTGAAACTTTAATAAGATTCCTAAAAGGTACATTTTAACTGAAACTTTGTAACAAGATAAAGAGAACCCCAGGAAGAGAAAGTGAAAAAAAGAAGCAAGAAGAAACAGCTTTGGATTATTTGGATTACTTGGTGATTTTTGGATTTTTGGCTATCGGATCTAAAAGACTAAAATTAATCGGGTGGTTGTTTAAAAGTTTTTAAAATGGTATCACTCTTGGAAGAATTGAGAATGGAACTTAAAAAAACAGAAAGAAGATGCACAAGAAGGAAGAGGTTCTTTTGGCTTCGTATTTCAATAGTTAGAAATGGAGATCCTGAACTATGAGAAACAACAAGAAATGCCTGTAGAACAAGAAGGGCGGGATAAAGAAGAATGCCCAAGTATTTCTATGTGGGGAAAAGAAAGGAAAAGGGGGAAAGAGAATGGAAAATTTAAGATTTGAAAAAACAACCCCAAAAAACAATAGTTTGAAAAGTAATTACAACATTAGGAAGAAACAGAAGAGAGAATTATAGAAGAAAGAATCAGAATTAGAGAGAGAAGGTGTCAAAAAGGGAAGGGGGAAGAGGGAAAAGAAAAGAAATTATAAAGGACAGAAACAGGACATAGAGAAACAGGGAAAACGTACAAGGATTAAGGGTATAAGCCTATTTAGAAGACACAGAGATAATGGGTGAAAACTTAATTGAAAGGGGGATTCTGCAAGAGTACATAAGATAGTATTGTTATATTAGAAATAGAAATGAACTTTGAAAATATGAAACAAGTGTGATTAAAATGATAGATAAAATACTGATTATAATGTAATGGAATTTTTAATAAATAAATGAAATAAAGACTGAGAGAATGAAATTAGGAAAGGAGGGGAACATTTTAATTATTATAAATGTGTTATAAAAATTTAAGTGAAAAGAAATATGAAAGAAACATGAAACAATTATGGAAATATAAGTGTTCCTAGCAGTATGATTCCCTATTGAAAAGAAATGTTAAAAATGTCAAAGATTATAACTAACAAGCTTTTGAGAGGGCTCTGATACCTTGAAGAGCAGATTCTGAAAATGATTTATGAAGGTGTTTTTCTCATATAGCAGTAATATTTTCCCTCAGGTTCATAAAAATCCCTTCACTGTGAATATTCGTGCTCAGTATTAGCCAAAAAAAAAAAAAGGCAAACATTTTAAAACTATTTTTTGAAACATTTTTTCCATGCTTCTTTTTATTTTAATAAGAATCTTTACATATTCAGCTACACTATATAATAGCTACAGATCCCACTCTTGCTGTTTAAAATGGTATTGTTTAATTTATCTCAGTAGTAAAATATCTAGTACAATTCAGACGTCATTAAACATATGAGTCCTCCAATATTCTAGTTGTCAGAAATGAAAAAAAAAAGTGGGATGGGAAGGAATTTCGGATACACAGCCAATTAGCCTGAATAATCAAGTACAAGTAGGGATCTATACTGAAATTGGGCTTTGATCCTAGTTTTAGCAATAGTATGCAACTTTGTTCAACATTTTAAGCTTAGTTTTGTTTAATAGCTATTTCCTATCCTCTGAGAACTTGACCATGGTTAGTAGTTCAGAAAGATGTCATTTTGACACATGATATTAGAACTTCAATTTTAAAGACAATATTAGGATTACAATGGCAACTATCGATGCTTTTATACAAATCTACAATGAAATATCCAGAGTTCTGTTCACTCTCATAAACATATTAGAAGTTTCTGTCTTTATGGCTACTATTTAGGATTTAGAAGAAATATAATACAAGAAACAGGCACTGAAAGCATTAGAAGTTTGCATCGTGTTCAGAGAACACAGCCTTTAGAACAATGCATATAATATTTTAAAGAATTTGATTATTCAGTGTTATTTTGGTGCTTGACTATAGGTGGACTGCAAAATGTGAATTAATGGCTTTTCATCCTCATAGCTTATAACCTCAATAGAGGCATATCTACTGTGTGTTAATTCCTCAGAAGCAAGGACAGAAAAGGGGCATTTGAATTCATACCCTGGATGACTCTGTCAGAAGTATCTGTTGCCTCTTACATTCCAATTCCAAAAACAGACTGGCTCCTCAAGCAGCCCTGTATGTGCACCTCTGTTTTCCATTTCATCTTTTCCATTATCTTACACAGTCCTCTCTTGCTTTTTGGACATATAAAAATGAGTGCTGCATTTGCCTGGTGCATCTTCCATAATTGGAGATGCATTGCAATTGGCGATGGGGATTGAGATGACTATTCCTGTGAACTGTAAGATCAGGAATCACACAACCTGCTGTCATGATGATCTCTCAGATGGAGAAAAGTCCCAGGGAGCGTATCTTCACACAAGGAGTTGTACTTAGGAAATGTATATTTTTAGTTGTATCAGTAGAAGCAGAAATTTCTGTTGTCCACGTTCTTCCTAAAACATTATTGCCATTGGAGGAAAAAATTGTGATGTTCTTTCACAATCAGATTGCCTTTTTTCTACGCAATACATTACATAATGTAAAGTTAATCGGAAAACTAGAAATTGAATTTCATAAGCAATAATTTAACCGTGTAGCTCAAGGAAAGAACTGTTTACTGGTAGTTTACTGATTGATACTTTTTTCCTAGGTGCTGAGGAAGTTCTCTTGCTCGCTAGAAGAACAGATTTACGAAGAATTTCCCTGGACATGCCGGACTTCACAGATGTTATTCTGCAAATAGACAATATTAGGCATGCTATTGCAATTGATTATGACCCTGTTGAGGGCTACATATATTGGACAGATGATGATGTCAGAGCTATTCGCCGGGCATTTCTTGATGGATCTGGAGCCCAGACTCTAGTAACAACAGAGATAAATCATCCTGACGGCATTGCAGTAGATTGGGTGGGTAGGAATTTGTATTGGACTGATACTGGTACAGATCGGATTGAAGTTACACGTTTGAATGGGACCTCAAGAAAGATCCTCATTTCAGAAAACTTAGATGAACCTAGAGCAATAGTGCTTAATCCTGTGATGGGGTAAGTCTTGCAAGTATTTGTTAAAACTTTAAAACATTAAAACTATGATGGTTGGTCTGCCTTTGCATTTCTATACTATGGAACATTTACAGGTAGTCCTTGTAGAGCCGTGGTGGTGCAGTGGTTTGAATGCAATATTGTCACTGGCTCAAGATTTACTCAGCCTTCTGTCTTTCTGACATTGGAAAAATGAGGACCCTGATTGTTGGGGGCAATATGCTGACTCTGTAAACCGCTTAGAGAAATCAGTAAAGCACTATGAAGCGGTATATAAGCTTTATTACTATTGCTATTGATTGACTTAACAACCATAATTGGGACTGGAATTTCCATTGTAAATTGTTGCAGTCATAAGTCAGATCCAATTTTATAGCAATTTTTTTCACAATGGTTGTTAAGCAAATCATTTGATCATTAAGCAAATCCAGCATCCCTAATGAGCATTCTCCCCCCCACCCACTGTAAATCAGCTAAAAATGATCACATGATCCAGAACCCAGTTGCCAAGATCCCAAATTGCAACCATGTAACCATAGGGGTGGTGTGATGGTTGTAAGAGTAAGTGTAGGTAATAAGTCACTTTTTGTAAGGCTATTGTGATTTTGAACCTTTGTTAAATGAACAGTCATAAGTCGAGGATCACTTGTACTTTAAAAATATTACCTTTTTCATCATACGACGAAAAGGCAGTGTAATAGAGTATGTTTTCTCAACTGCATATTCATTATTAGTATTTAGTAAATTTGGAATATACAACCATCAGCCTATTTATTCTAGGTAACAAAGTCCATGATTTTTAAGTAAAAAATTTCCTTTCTCATTTAAAGTGTTATTCCTTATAATATTATTATCCTTTTGTATATCTCACAAACTTGAAATCTTTGAATGAATCTTTCTCTTTAGTGCCAGTTCATGGAAAAGCATCTTGCTGAAAAGCACGCCTTAAAAATGCAATAATATATTTGATAGAATACTTGCGTATCAGAATTAACACTGCTGTTGTTCTCCTTCCACAAAAGTTATATGTATTGGACAGACTGGGGTGAAAACCCAAAGATTGAGTCTGCTTATCTGGATGGGACTGAAAGGAAAGTGCTGGTGAATACTTCTCTGGGATGGCCTAATGGTTTGGCATTGGATCTTGAGGAAAACAAACTTTATTGGGGAGATGCAAAGACTGACAAAATTGAGGTAAGTGAGATTTTTTCCGATAACTGCAGTTCTGTTCCGGAGAAAATATATTGATTTGTTTTCCTGTTTTTTTGGGGAAACATTGCATTACCAGAGATAGTTTCTGAAGAAAAGTTTGGGAGAAAAAAATCCCCAACCCCAGCATAAGAGTTTGTATTTCACTTTAAAAGGATCCAGCCTTTCCTGACTCAACTGAGAACGAGGGGTGCCTTTTGTCCAGGCAAATACAGAGCTGCACTGTCAGAAGGCCAAGAAGTAGAGAAATATTAGAGCTGGGCTATTAAAATAAATTAATTTATTGAAAGTTAGGTCTGGAATTCATTATCAAATGACAAACATGGAGAAAACTATTTAAAACAAATAATATTCTCCTTCAGAATTCCCAGAAGAGAATTGTATTGCAGTTTAATTCTGTCTGGGTAATTTATGCATCATGCTGGAAATTGTGTTACGTTCAAGGCTTGCTGACTTTATACAATAAAAATAACGAAATCCAGAAAATATATGATGTAAATTTTCAGGTTGGGAGTATTAATCTTGATCCTGAGATACTGAAAGGACATATTTCTTTGTGCAGTTACCACAGTGTGTTTTCTAAGACAGACTACTTTTTTAAATGTCAGAAACTTTAGGACGTGTTGACAGAATAAAAATCAGAATTCAAAGAGACCAGGCAAGATCTTTGGCGTGGATGCTCAGGTTGGCCATTTGCTCTGTGCTCTGACTTACCAACTATACTTCTTAAGCACTGTGTTATTTCCTTGGCAAAAATGTAGGAGAACGTATAATAGCTTGTATAATAATGTACTTCAATTAATTGTATGTTGCATTTTTAGCTGTCCATTGTTCCAGAAAACCAACTTTTTTGTTCCCTCGAGGGGGAGAAACCTACCCAGCCCCTCTCCCAGGCAGGAAAATACTGCTAGATACATAGAAGTGCGTTCCTTAATTATGTGTGTAAAACTTCACATGGCAGAAACAGCAGTTATTCATTCTTGGCAGAAACGTTCCCATCTGCAGCATTCAGCTGTAGATACAAAGGCCTCAGTCACTTCACAAGCCGTTTATATCCTAAAGAAACCATTTGGTGAGCCTTGTCAAACGTTGCGTGACAACAGCCTTTGGGGCTTTCACTGCAAATTTGGCACCCTGTGGTAACATTGTTCCCAGCTCTTAAAAGTTTTTTTTCTCCTAACTTGGTTTGGCAGCATGTTTGAAAGGTGGGAGAGAGACGAGAGGGAACAAAAAATTGTAGCAGGTTTTATAGAGAGGTATATGGGGAAGTATCTTGGATTCGGGAGGTGCAGCTGATTTGAAGTGAATGGCGCAAAAGTAAATTGAAAGAAAACTTGAGATTCTGTCAGAAAATAGTACATTTCAGGAACAAATTAACGTGGATTACAAGGTTCCAGCTGAAGGAGAAGCAAAGAGCCGCTGACATCTGCCTGCAAAATTGCCTAGTTCTCTTTCAAAACCAGTTTTGTGGGTTGTCTTGTCAACATTTGCTTAATGACTCCGTGTAATTGCATAATTAAAAAATGTTGACCTATTTGTCTATTTTTAGAAGTGTTTTCCTGATTTAAATTGCTGTAAAACAACATAGTTAAAAGATAAAATGTAACCTATAGAACCACTACTCCCCCAACATACACACACATACACACACACAGAGAGAGAGAGAGAGAGAGAGAGAGAAGCTTTGTGATTATTTTCTTCAGAATAAATTCAGAATTTGCACCCAGACATTCTCTAAAATATTGTGCTGTGATAAACAGTGTCTGTGAGGCATAACAAGGGTCACTAATGTCAGGCTCTTCACCTCTATCTGCAAACCCAACAAATTCATTGATCCTCCTGACAACCTGATTCTTCCTATTTTTTCTCTCCCTATAGTTATTTGATGGATATTGAAGAAACAAAGCCTTTGCTGTATTTCAGGACAGGCTTTCAAAGTAATGACTTTTATAGGGAAATATTTTTTATTCTAGGTAATTTCTACATATGATATTTAAAATGGCGCTTTTAATCTCCAGCTCAGGTTTGAAGAATTTCTTTCAACCTTATAAAGAATAAAAGGATCTTCTGGCATGGTTACTTTTACATAGGTAAAATACAAAACTGTCCAGAATTTTAGAACACGTTAATATTATTTCTCAAAATTTAATTGTATTTTTGGTGTCTTAATTTTGTTTTACATTTTTTGGGGAAAAAATCCTGACAAAATCTTACTCAAAAATTGAGTTGCAGGACAAATTCACTCTCCCATCTCTTGTCTTTAATTCCCCAAACTAAATTTCTTTGAGGCTGAAAGAGTACTAACAAGGAAAGTGACTATGTGAGCGGCTTCCTTTATTTGATATTCTAAATACATATTATATGGTATTTTTAATTTGTTGAAATATTTCTTTAGGATCTATAAATAACTAGCTTTCTTACATAAGTAAACCAACTCATACGTCCCTGAGCTTTTAAAAAGAATTGCTGAAAAAGTGCTGTTTATACTTAAAATTAATGGTGAATTCTTTATTCCGCATCAAAATAAACTTTCTATTTTAAAAAAATGGGGCAGGGAAGAAGAGACGGTTGGGAGCCTTGAATAGAGTAACTGACCTTTGACCCATCAGGAGGCTATGTCAGAAGTAAAGCCGTTGCCTTCCCACAGTCAAAGGACAAATGGACGTTGATCATCCTGAATAGTATTGAGTAGCCTGACTTTCAGGGAACCAATTAAAGGACCGCTGTGGCTTGCAACAATACAGTTTCTACACAAGTTTGAAATTCTTCTGATTTTCTTCTTCTGATTGAAATAGAATGTTGGCTTTTTGTCATTTCTTACACATTTGGATCATATTACATAGAAACATTACCACAGAAATATTTAGAACCAACCTTCCACTTAATGTGACTGAAGCTTTGGTGATGCATACATATATCTCACCAAAATCCTTTCCTTAGTGATTATCCTGCTGAATCTTTTGATCTTTCAACATGCTTTGGATTGAACAGTCTGGGGGGGAGGAAGAGCAGTGGCATGGAACTGGAGAAGAACCCTGATTGTTGGGGGCAACAATCCTGTGCCCATGGGAGTAAAAAAATGTTTTTTTTGTGCATAAAGATGGGGACGGGTGCAACTAGAACACATCTTGTCTTATCATCTTGAAAAGTAAGCTTATTAAGAGGAAATTTATTAAAAATGTAGGAATTACAGAGAGACCACTGCACAAAGACCATTGACATGAATTCAAGACTTACAATCAGAGTACTGAAAAAATTATCAGCATGACTAACTATGATCTGTTTATTCTGGGTGCCTCAGTAGACTACAGGAAGACAAATGTTCTAATCCAGAAAAAGGGAAGAGAGTTCTGGGAAATTTTGAGCATCTTGTGGAAGACTATTGAACAATGTATTTGTGATCAGTTGGTTAAGAATGTCATAGTTACAAGAGCCAGAATGGCTTTTATTACGAATAAGTGATGCTAGATTAACCTTACCTCTATTTTTGACAGAATCACCAGCTTAATAGATCAGGGGATGCTGCAGACATAATCTCAGCAATGCATTTGATAAAGTCTCTGATCATATGTAGCTTAATAAATTGGTAAAATATGAGCTAGATTATACAATATAAGACAGTACTTCTGAATGCCTCAATATCAGTTTGGAGAATAGTGCTAAGCGGACTGCCACAGGGAGTTCTGTCTTGGCCTTATGCTGTTTAAGATTCTTATTAATGACCTGGATGGAAAGATTGAGGAGGTAATTACCAGATTTGTGAATAATACGAAACTAGGAGGAGTGGCTAATTCTTTAGAAAAGAAAGAGAATTGGGAGGAGGAAAAAAAAAAAGCCATCCCTTTGATAGCTCAGCTGGTAGAGCGGAGGACTGTAGAATTGCTTGTACTGAAATCCTTAGGTCGCTGGTTCAATTCTGGCTCGAAGGAAGCTTTTTATTCTCCCTTTTATCATCATTTCTAAAGTTGCCATTCATCCTTTGAGAGAAACAAATTATGATCTTGCTTTAAGAGCCAGTTTAGTCTCGAATTTAAAGCACCAGGCTAGAAAGAGGGAGATCATGAGTTCTAGTCTTGCTTTAGCCATGAAAGTCAGCAGGAACAAATGTAAGATCCTACATCTTAAAAGGAAAAAAAAATGAAAGGCTCAGTATAGTATAGTGAGACTTGACTTGACTTGACAGTAGTAGAAGTAACTACTGGGTATTTTGTTAGATCATAAATTGAACATAAGACAGTTTAATAGATAAATGCAACTTTTTAAAAGTTAAAAAGTTAAAAACTCAGGTGTTTAGTTATAGGTTTGGTGGACGAAGTGGTTTGGTAATGAGACTTCTGAAAGAATTCTTAGTTGTTGACTGCAAACTTAAAGTAAATAATTGTTCCATCCCATCCTGCTTTATTCAATCCTATCTCAAATGTTCTGTTGATTTTTGGGCATCAATTTCAAAAAATAAGAAGAGGTTCAGAATAAGATGGTGAGGTCAACCAGGAGACCAGAAATGAAGATCCTATGAAGAGAAAGGAATTCTATGAATGTCCTAATGTCAAGATCTGCTCTTCTTGGTTGTAGAGTGCAGGACATGGAATAGTGGGTTTGAGTTATGGGAAGGCAGATTTCAATTGAATTTTAGCAATTGGTTGATAACTGAAAGAACTTGATGATGGAACCAATTATCCAGAGAGGTGGCAGGTTCAATGTATTCAGTCAGGTGCCTGTTTAGAATGCTATAATGTGAATTGCTATACCAATCAGGGAACTGAACTCTAAATTGCCCCTTTCAAAGGCACAATTCTATATATTGTCAGGGATGAGGAAGAGACAAATAAAAGCCGATGCACCGTGCAAAGCATGCAGTTTATATTCTTGTGCCAGGTGTTAGGTCCCCAATACATCATCTCATTTGTGCAGTGATGTTGATGCACACATCTTATTTTGATATCATTATAGCTTGGTCAGTCTTGGAGTTGGGGTGCATTTTCCAC